AAAACTCAACCTGGCTCTTTAGGATGTGCACTTTATATACCTCCTTTCTTTTTCTATTTACTTTCAAGATTAAATCTGTATAATATGGAGCCAAAAAGAGTGTAATTGTCAGATAGCTGTGTGTGCGTGCTCAGTCGTGTCTGACTCTTTGTGACCCCATGGACTGTAGCCCACCAGGCTCCTCTGTATATGAGATTTCCCAGGAAAGAACACTGGAGTGGGTTGCTATTTGCTTCTGCAACCCAGGAATCGAATCTGCAAGTCCTCTGTAGCAGGCAGATTCTTTACCACTGAACCACCTGGGAAACCCTTAAGATAGCTACACGCAGTATGAAAAGCATAACAAAGTGTTAAGCAAAAGTAAGCAAAAATAATAACTTTTTTCCAAAAGGGGAAAAATGTAAAATTTGTTTAAGTTGAAAAATGTCAGCAAACAATATTTATAGGGTTGTTTCTCTTGAGTTCTAAGTTTGATTACATCTTGAACTATTCTGTCTGCCCACTGCCAACAAGAATGAAAAATTATATTCATGGGGCAAAGAAGAAATAATTATTATTTCCAAAACATATTTACTCCAATCTGTGGCCTTGAACGATGCTGCTCAAGACACCCCAACAGATCATCCTCATTCTCAGCCATGCTTGCGTTTTGCACGGAACTCTCTATGCCAAATGGTCATTTTTCTCACATTTATTTTGTTAACAGGATAAATGCCAACATTTGTCAACATCTTGTAAATGATGAGCCTTAATGAGGCAAGCTACTGTTTCACTCCTCTGAGGAATTTCATAGCAGAATAAGCAAAATACCAGGTTAAAGCAAGCGGGAGGGAATCCCAGGGAGCAAACCTTTTCTATGAACATATATTCCTTGAGGTTTTGCTTAGAGTGTGTTCTAGGATCCAGGCCAATTTGGCCTAAACCTTTATACAACATTTTAATTATATTTTTAACAAATCCTACAAAATGAGGTTCACATGTTGATTCAGCCAAAAAAAAAAAAAAAAAAGCAGTATCTACAAGCTGAACAGAATGCAAGAGAGAGGGAACAATTTAGAGATGTTGCCAAAAACCAATGAATACAGCATTTTTTATAATATGGGGCCATGTTTCACTCACTTTGGGGAGAGATAAAGACCGGTGGAGGGTATATTCTTGCTCTAGAATAAATGAATGAAAAAGTTTTTATTTTACTCATGTGTACTAGATGTAAAGAATCTAGTACTGCCTGTTAATGCAAGAGACACAAAACATTCAAAGACTTGGGTTTGATCCCTGGGTCAGGAAGGTCCCCTGGAGAAGGCATGACAACCTACACCAGTGTTCTTGCCTGGAGAATCTCATGGATGGAGGAACTGGTGGGCTATAGTCCATGGGGCTCAAAGAACCCAAAGCAACTTAGCATGCATGCACTAGACTCAAAAGTAAAAAATGTGGCATTTACAGAAACATTAATATTCTGAGACTGTAAGGCCAGACAAATGCTAAGTAAGATAATGCATAGGCTTGTCAATCTGTGGAAGTCAACACAAGATTATAGTTAACAACTTAGGTTTGGGTCAGAAATATTAAGTCTCTGTGTTTAAGTCCTGGCTCCAGTAATGACAAACTATTAATAAATACAAACTGAATACACTTGGCAAATCACTTTATTCCCTTTAATCTCAGTCTCCTGATCTATAGAATAGGGATAATAATGCCTACTCTATGAGAGTATTACAATAATTAAATGTCATAGTATACATAGGACAGTGCTTATTAAAAAGTCATTAGTGGTCACCATTGTATCTGCTAATGAAATTGAAAATTTCTAATCCCTGGCATTAAAAGCAAATGATGGTGGTTGGCTGTAAAACATGTTTAGAAATGTTGTAAAATAGCATGCATCTTATTGTATTTAGGTTTGTGGTTAGGGGGAAATGGAAACTTCCTACGTGAACCTAGCATCCTTTACAAAGTATTAAGTCAAGATTTTAACATCTTTATCCACTGATCAACTCTTAGAAGTGTTTCCTACTCAGCATTCCTGATCTGCTGGGAAAGAAAGACTTGGCACTGGGACTGGCAATGATGACCAGTCACTACACTTTACCGTCACTACAGTTATCTGAGGGTCAAGGTGGCTGCTGCAGCTCCAGGCATTTTGTCCTAATCCCAGGCCAGAAGAAGCAGCATAGCAGAGTGTAGAAATCTTCCTGTTTCAGGGATCGAACCTGTGTCTCCTGCATTGGCAGGCAGATTTTTAACACTAAGCCACCAGGGAAGCCCTGGAAAACATTGTTGAAGAGGCTATTTGAGCTAATCGGATGCCTCCCCTCCTGACTCAGCTCCAAGTCACTCTAAGGACACAAAGAATCAAACAGTATTTTAAGGTAAAGAACCAGAAAGTACCTTAATTACATCACATATTACCATGGAATATGCTTTCTGGATACGCTGCTGTGTATATGTGTGGAGAATAGTGACGGAGGCTTAAAGTCCAAAATTTAATGAGGCTCCTAAGAACCAATTTGCGCTTGAAGTTGGTAAACTGGAAAATGCAAAAGTAGAAGGAATTAAATAAACAGTATGTAAGAAAAAGATGTGGGAGTTTTCCATGAAATATATATACACTTTCTTTCCTATTAGTTACTGGCCAGATCTTAAATTCCACTAGTCAGAAAAAAGAAAGTTATACTGGTATTACCACACCTATCCTGAAAGCCAGAAGGCAAATGTGTATTCATCCCAATTGTTGTTTAGTCACTCAGTCGTGTCCAATTCTTTTGTGACCCCTGGACTGTAGCCCACCAGGCTCCTCTGTCCATGAAATTTTCCAAGCAAGAATACTGGAGTGGGTTGCATTTCCTCCTCCAGGAGATCTCCCCAACCCAGGGGTTGAACCCGTGTCTTCTGCATCTTCTGCACTGGCAGGCTGGTTCTTTACTGCTGAGTCAGCACTGATCACAGAGGTTGGTATAAGTAGAAAGAAAGGGAACGGGTGAGTCAAGCATGATTTTATCCTTACTGCTTCTAGGACCCACAAGGGCATCATTAAACATCTTGGGGACAGGGTCTGAATTTTACAGACTTTCACTACGAATCTTTTTTTAAAATTATTTATACATTTGAAGTTTGTTCTCTAAAGAGTACACCTAATTCAGATGATAATACAACCCAGGTTATTCATAGAAGACAGTAAATAAATTCAGAGCTTAGCTTCTTTTCCTGTTTTTCAAAAAAACATTATTTCAGGGCTTCCCTGGCAGTCCAGTGATTAAGACTTCATGCTGCCAATGCAGGGGGCCCAGGTTCAATACCTGGTCAAGGAACTAGATCCCATATGCCTCAACTAAAAGACCCCACCTGTAGCAGGAAAGAAAATCCTGTGCCACAACTAAGACTTGCTGCAGCCAAACAAATAAAGAGATACTTTAAAGAAAGATGGGGTAATGGAGGGACACTGAAAAGAAATAAGCTGTTCGTAGTGACTCTGTTAGCAAATAGTGGAACCAGCTGTGCACTTAGATGGACTAGTGTCCAGGTTTCCAGGCTCTTAACCACCAGCTCTGGGCTTCCCTGGAGGCTCTGCCTGCAATGCAGCAGATCAGGGTTCGATCCCTGAGTCAGGAAGATCCCCTGGAGAAGGAAATTGCAACCCACTCCAGTACTCTTGCCTGGAAAATCCCATGGATGGAGGAGGCTAGTAGGGTACAGTCCATGGGGTCACAAAGAGTCAGACACGACTAAGCAACTTCACTTCACTTCTGGATCTGAAATCAAGAACCTGAACACAGGTTAACAGCATGGATCTGGTGTCAGAACCCACTACTCCATTAGCCGGACAGTTCTTGAGAAAAGAGTTGTTTAGTTGTATGGTGAAAGTTGGTCTTATTGAGTCTGTGCTTGGCGTGCGTGCGTGTATGCATACGTACGTACATGCTCCGTCGCTTGAGCTGCCCCACATGTTGCCATCCTATGGACTTTAGCCTGCCAGGCTGCACGGTCCATGGGATTCTCCAGGCAAGAATACTGGAGTGGGTTGGCAAAGCTCTGTGTGAGTGAGACCATTTTTAAGCATTAGTGTTCAGCTGCTGCAAAATGTGCAAATCAACATGATAGCAGTTTAAGCTTGAGCTTCACCGGAACATCTTTCTCATATTATGCTGTTCCCTAGGAGAGAATCGTCTTTCTTCCTTCTTCTCTATGTACGAAATAATAATAATCAATTTCGCAAGCTGAGTGTGCAGAAGCTAAGTCTACAGCTTTTTTTTTTTTTTCTAACTAATCACTTTAAGTAGGCTCTTGCAAACCACTTAGCCGAGCGGAGGGCCTAACATGCTGATATTATTGATAATGTGCTCATCCATTCTTGACTGATTTCTTCTGTCGCTCTGCGCCCCTAACAGCTGCTATGAGTATGCAGTTTCCATTGACTTCATAGAGAGAATTGCAAGCTGGTTGGCTTCTTGAAAGTAGAGAGGGGAAAAGGCTAGAGACAGAGCCTTGGCTGACAGAAGGAAAAGAATGCTGGCAATGGGATGAATAATAACAGTTTTATTTGGATAAGCTGCCAGAAAATAGAAGCAAAGGATCTCCAGATGGGTCAAGGCTACATTCAGCAGAGAATGGCGTGTAATACTATCTGATGAGGGGAACACGGTGCTTGCTAAGTTATGTAGGACTGAAGGGGCGGGAAGAATAGGGAAGTTACAGAGATGCAAGCTGAATAGCATCAGGAAGGGGGCACCGCACAATTCCAGAGGTTAGGATGGAGGTTCTTTGGCCAGGGGCAGATGGTTTTGCAATTGTGTTCACTTGCAAGGGAGATAATGGCTTTCCATTAGTCAGTGTGAGTAACCCTGGCCATATATATTTGAAAGGCTTTATTTTTTTTAATGCACTAAGATTATTTGTTAGGCTGAAACACTTAGAAAATTGCTTTTAATAATGTGACATAGAGCAAATGAATGTGTGTTCATGTGTCTGTACCATGTTCTGATTTTTCTTTTTCTATGTAGGTAAAAGCCAACACAAGTGTCCTGACGCTTAGATGTTTAGGTGAGGGGAGAAGGGAGTCCTAGAAGCTGCAGGAATATGGGTTTAAAACCAGTAAGATGATGAGCATACACTGGAACAAATGATATTATTTAGATCAAGAGTGCACAGTGTGTTCACCTGAAACTATCATAGCATTGTTAATTGACTATACCCCAACACAAAATAAAAAGTGTTTTTTTAAAAAAAGAGTGAACAACATTAGTGGTTCATTTACTTTTTTCTCGAAGTATCAGTGATTTTTTTTTTAATTCATTTACTAGAAAGTTAACCTTTATTTTCTGGTGGCTCAGATGGTAAAGAATCTGCCTGCACTGCAGAAGACCCAGGTTTGATCCCTGGCGCAGGAAGATTCCCTGGAGAAGGGAATGACTATGTATTCCAATATTCTTGCCTGGAGAATTCCATGGACAGAGGAGCCTGGCGGTCTAGAGTCCATGGGGTTACAAAGAGCTGGACACGACTGAGTGGCTAACACTTTTATACTTGGAAACTCCTGGGTCATTCTAGAAAGAGTTAGATCATTTTTTTCCTTCTCAATTTTAGTACTAGCAATATTGATGGTGATGCTTTCATATTTTACACTCAATTCTTGAATATATACATTATTCTATCTTCAACTGTTCTTATTTAAAACTAACATATTGAGATCACATTTTTAAAGTATGTGGGCTCTGTGCTTAGTCACTCAGTCGTGTCCGACTCTTTGCAACCCCATGGACTGTACAGGCTCCCCTGTCCATGGGGATTCTGCAGGCAAGAATACTGGAGTAGGTTGCCATGCCCTCTTTCAGGGGATCTTCCCAATCCAGGGGTTGAACACAGGTCTCCCTCGCTACAGGCAGATTCTTTAGTGTCTGAGACCCCAGGGAAGACCATGAATATTAGAGTGGGTAGCCTATTCTTTCTCCAGGAGATCTTCCCAACCCAGGAATCCAACCAGGATCTCCTACATTGCAGGCAGATTCTTTACCAGCTGAGCTACCAGGGAAGTATACTTGCTGAATTCAGTTAGGAAAAGTGTTGATCCAGTTTTTCATAATGATTACCATCACCAACTTCAATTCAGGTAATATGCTTTAAAAAAAAAAATCTACATTGTTAACTATTCTTCCTAAGAAAGACTTGAACCTTTTCAGACTTTCCATAAGAAATTCAATGCCTTCTAAACCCAAGAGAAATACCACACAGCACTTAAACGTTACACTTGCTATGTGATATGTTATCACCAATATTTTTCACCAGGTAGCTATAGTTTTTTGGGTTTTTTTAAGTAATAGTGCTAAATGTTGATCATGTTAGTGCTGTTTTGTGAGCTATTCTTCACACCCTTAAGATAGATTCTCAACTGTGCTTGTCAGGCCACTGAGTACAGTAACAACAGTTCCTGAAATCAGATCAGTCTGGTACCCAGATTACAAACTCCCCCGCCCCTATATGCAATATTACACACAGAAGGAAGTGCAACTTTCGTGACTGACAAGAACTGAATGAGCACAAGGAAAAGAAAAGACAGCAAAGAGTTAAAGCAACATTGGGCTTTCCCAGACTCTAAAACAAAGGTCTCAGAAACTGTGCCTTACTGTAAACTGCTTCTTTCTGCAAAGATGGGAATTTATTAATAGATATTTTATTGACAACGGAAGTTGAAAGTATAGGAGAATCTCCATCATTCCCTCAATAATCCTACTGGAGAATTGTTTGTTGTGAGAACGTGGCTCACTCTACTTTGACATGAAACCCTTTATAAATTATGTCTGCAGGTTCTTTTGAGGGAAGGCAACTGGGCCAACCTTGTCTATAATTACGCCTTAGAATATCCTATTGCATTCAGAGAAAAGATTTATATACATACAAAGAAAAAGTAGTTAGATGGGAATGACCTGAGGCCATCCTTCACAGAATCCAAAGAGAAATCAAAAGGTTATACAAAGAAATCACACATAGAGCATATATGTGTTATTGGACACATGTGTATGTGCTAAGTCGCTTCAGTCATGTCCAGCTCTTTACAACCCTATAGACTATAGCTCGCCAGGCTCCTCTGTCCATGGGACTCTCCAGGCAATAATACTGGAGTGGCTTGCCATTTTTCTTCTCCAGAAGATCTTCCTGACCCAGGGATCGAACCCACACCTCCCGCATCTCCTGCTTTGACAGGCGGAGACTTAACTTACTACTGAGGCATCTGGGAAGCCTAGTCTTAAATTAATTATACATTAAAATACAACTAGTTCTCTCTTCCCAGTATAAATTTATCTATTCTCAACAAATGGTTTAGCTATCATACACAAATGTTGCTGTTTCAAACTAAAGAAGATAGGAGACTCTGGTGCATATTCCTATAACATCCAGAGCAATTATTATGAATCAGTTTTTTTTTTTTTTTACTAAAAGTTTCCTTCCCACTTCTGGCTTTCTATCAGCAAACCAGGTGTGCCGCTTTCCTTACACGATTCTTCCATTACAATCTTCATCATTCTGGAGTGTGAAAACACTCTGTATTTGTCTTCGCATTGTATTTAAACCATGTGACTGGTGTGTGGATAAGTACATCTCAAATAACGGTTACTGGTGCTTTAGTGACGGAAGGCAGACAGTTCTGGAGTGCAGTCGCTTCTAAAGACTCAGTGGAAGACACTTTGTGGAAGTGGTGAACAGCTATGGCAGATGATGTGACAACAGCTCACAGTTTCGGCCGGAAGTTCCAGGATTGAATTGTTCTCACATGAAATAGCCATTGAAGAGAATCATTTGTCTTCCTTGTCATTCATGCTCAGAGGCACACCAGCTGAGGAAATTGCCACAGACTGTCAGGAGGAGAAGGGAAACAGCACTTAGTTCATTTCGTTCTTCCATGAACATGTTTCCCCTGAAAGGTGCTCAGTGGCACCCAGATGGATCTCACAGATCTCACCCAAATCCATCTCACAGATGGATCTCATCTCCGGTGGGCAGATGCCCAAGCTCATTGGGGTGCCTGGTCTCCCTGTGTGAACAGGCTGTGGCTTTGATCCAGATGAAGATGCAGGTGTGGATAAAGAAGTGTGTTCACAGACACACCAGCTAAAATGCAGGGGCCTGGGGGAGCTCAGGACTGTTTGCCTCTGAAATTCTCTTGGATTCCATGCGTCAAAGAGTCTCTGCTTGACCAAACTCTACTCATGGGCTTCTGAACTCTCTTCTCAGAGGCCCTGTCTGGGGGGTGGGGGCGGGGGGCTTCCATGACCATCTGTGTGCTGCTGAAGTTTAGCAAGAATCCTTCTTAGTCACTTTACCAGAATCTCCCATCTTTGCTCTCTGGCCATCCTCAACTTTTGATCAAGTGTCTCCTCTGCCACCCGATTTAGCCAGAATCCTTCCTTTTCCCCTGGGTGTTTCTTCCTGGTGAATTTCCACCCACTGACACCCCCCCGACACATACACACACATACACATGCCATACTCCTTAGGTATAAATTCCCACTTTTCCTTGACTCAGAATTGCATTTCTCTCTCATACTGTAAAATCCCATTGCAGTGGTTCCTCCATGTCTCATGATAGCTCCCCTTGAATTAAGTTTGTTGCTTTAAAAAAAAAATCTTTTAACATGGGAATGAAATTGACAGAATCAACCAAGTTACTGAATACCCATTCTACTACCTACCCCCATGATAGGGGACTCTCTGAAAAGGTGTGTACAATGATATTTCTCATTTGTGAAGCCTCTGCAGCTTGTAGGCAGCTGTTGGAAGTGGCTGGACGGTACCTAACTGAGCTCATATTCTGGATCCTGGCTCAATAAATAAACACTTTCAGACGTGTGTGTGTGTGTGTGTGTGTGTGTGTGTATACATGCTAAATCACTTCAGTCATGTCTGAATCTGTGCAAACCTATGGACTGTAGCCTGCCAGGCTCCTCTGTCCACAGGAATCTCCAAGTAAGAATACTGGAGTGGGCTGCCATGCCCAGAAAATGAACCTGCGTCTCTTGCTTCTCCTGCATTGGCAGGCAGGTTCTTTACCACCTGGGAAGCCTATATATGTGTATATATATATACATACACACACATACACACACACACACACATATACATATGAGATTCTGAGTCCGCTACACTTAAGTCTTTCCCTTTTTCTCTGCTTATTTTCTTTGCATCGTTGAGACCTAAAAGATACACATGCCAACACCACCAAGGTTCGAATCATTCTTTTCTTGTTAGTGTCCTGTGAGTTCTAGAATAATCTTCATTAGCTGCAGTGAAGGTGTACTGATTTGCCTGTCAATCGTCACATGAAGGCAAAGGAATTGGAGAGGATGAGTTGTAATCAGTGCCTTACTTATTCACTCAGAAAGTTCCGGAGAGTTTTCTGGATAGGGGAACATGAGCCAAGATGGGTTTACCAACATATCCTTAAAGCTCACAGATGATTTTGAGGACTTGTGTTGAAGCAAATGTGCCTGGTAATCAAAAGTGCACCAAATACTTGTTTCCAATCAGTTCTAAGAAGTCACGACTCATCCAGGTGGAGATGAATACGTGAGCCCAGCAGGATACAGAGAACATACTCCATGAGGGGGAACCCACACCAGATCACTGAGGAGGAAGAACTGACTAGAAAATTCTGGAAGGAAGCCTGTTGCAGGTAGATGCTGACATGAACAATGCAACAGAAATGAGAAATCAAAAGACACGTCAAGGAAGAAGGAAGTCCGTCCTAGTGTTACCTAACGTGGGGTCCGGGTGCTCACTGCCCAAAAGTCAGCAAAGAGGCCAGGCTGGTGGACAGGGAAGTTTGCTTTATTTCGGGTGCTGGCAACCTTGGGGAAGGGCAAAGGCCCATCTCCCCCCCCTCTGACAACCAGTGCGGCAGGAGCCCTTCTAGGCTGAAGAGGGAGGGGGCTCCGTGAAGACGGCACAGTCGGCGCTGACCGTCAGTCTTCAAATGGGTCCTCTTGGCTGTTTTAAGTGCAGTTAGTCTTCAGCTCTGGGCTCAGTTTGTTTCCGTGACTTTGGGGCCA